AACCTAGTGAGTCTAGAGTGCCCCAGTTGACAATAAATGATTTGGAAGTGTGAGCCCTTGAGATATGAGAACAGGACTTGAGTCTGATACTGCACAACCAAACAAAGGCATATTGGTTAAGAGGGAGAGAACTTGGATTAAGCAATAAATAAATAACTGAAGAAAACTGCTAATGCAACACACACACACTGTGTAAAATACACACAATGTATTTTACATTGGTTGCCTTGAGAACTATAACTTTTTCAAAGTTGCCTCTGCATGTTCCCATGTATGGGATGAGCTTTGGGAAATGTCTTGAAAAGCAGTGACTATTGGGACCTCACAGGTACCGTTTTGCAGCACTCAGTGTTCAGAGCAGAGGCTGTAAGAAGCTTTATCTCAGTTCTTCTGCTAAACCTCAGAGTCCTTAAGGGTATAAGACTCCATGGAAGAGGGAAAGGCAGGTGGGTGGTGTGGATGTGCAGAGCCAGCCGTCACAAAGAACTGTAATTACTACTGTAGAGCACAGAATTAATAACTCATAGAAATGTCATGAATAATGGTGTAATTGGGTGTCCTTTCTACAATTTTCCGCAACTGATTAGTTAAATTTGATGGCAAAACTACACATAGAAAATGTACAGTTATACTAATGGTTTGTCAATAAACCTTAAAACTGCTGCTTCCATTCACAGCTTCAGAGTTTAAGGTGGCCCAAAGCATAGCTTCCTCCTGAAATGTAGTGCACCAGTTTGGAAAAAACTGAGTTTTCAGAATGCTCCATTTGAATAATTCGAATGTGAAGGTTTTCATTAAAAAAGAAAAAAAAACAGGCAATGAGTGGAATAACTGCTTAGTTAGATTAAAGTCTTTTGAACTTTTAAATGGTCCCAGAAGAGCTTTGATTAGTTGTCCTGGTTTTTGCCCCAACTCTGTTTTTGGATAGTGTGTAGAAGGGCATTCGTTATTTCTGGGGTCAGTTGTTATGTTTATCATCTCAAATCTAGTTTCAGTGAGGATGCAACTTTTGTGTTTCTCAGGCTGTGATGCGCCACTGGCTGCCTGCTGGAGATGCCTTGCTTCAGATGATCACCATGCACCTTCCCTCCCCTGTAACGGCACAGAAATATCGCTGTGAACTTCTGTATGAGGGGCCACCTGACGATGAAGCTGCTATGGGTAAGGAGGCTGCTCTTTGACTTTGCAACACTAACTACACAATGCCCATAGCAAAGATTAAAAATATGTTGTTATCCCCAACCCGTGGAGTAAAACTGACTAGGTGACAAGCCACACAAATTTGGCTCAGAGTTAGTTATTACATTGTGCTGGCCTTTTTTAAATTTAATTTGTTCCATTACTCTGTGTTTGTACGATGGGGCTCCCAACTGGTTGAGGTCTCTTAAGTACTACCACAATGCAATTGTTCAGTAATAATAATTGAATGTTTTCATGCTGCTGCACAATTCACTGTAACTCCTTATCTGCTGGATGGTCTTTAATTCAGTCTCTGAGAGTACGTGGGTGGGATGAGTTGGAGGACGGTGTGCACTAACCCTTGGATGTACAGCACGAAGCAACACAACAGCAAGTACATCACTGCAGCATTGGTTATTATCAAATATGGAATCCTGCTGTCCCACCCCAGAGACATGATGTGTTAGGGGGCTGTGCAAGTACGCTGTTCACAGCACCCGCTTGGACTCTTCCAGTCAGTTACCCAGGCTGGATTAGTTCAGAGCACGTACCCACTTTGTGGAGTTCTGATCTATTAAATCGCTTCTTTAGTTGCTGGAATTTATGCCCACTCCGGCTCCATATAAGAGTCTTGATAGGTTTTCTTGCCTCTATTCAGGAGGCGCTCTTTCCTGGAGCTGGGTTTGTACTTCAGATGGTTTCTCCCAAGCAGGAGTTCCCCAGCTCCCCTCTTGGAGCTGTGGTGGTAGCTTAGGCCAGCTATAGGGCCTTACCCAGCTGCTCCTTTTCCCCAATTAGTCCTCAGGTTCATCAGGCAGGCCTTCTGCTGTGAACGAGGCAGTATATATGCTGATCCCCTTCCTAAAGATCATTCCAATTGGCTGGGAGAGATTAGAGCCTTGTCCCACCCACTCGGCAACACTTGTGGTCCCTTAAAGAAACGGTAATGGTATGTCCTCCCAACACTAATTCCCAGAACCACTTTCTCTCTACCAATATATCCGAGGGTCCTTGTATCAGACCTCCCAAAATCTTAGAAGGCCACAACAGACGATGGGGATGGGTTGATCTGTAGGCCTCAGCATGCATAATGGGGCAGACTACCCCATCATGCTGAGATGTCTTGGTTATTTGTATCAGACCATACCTGGAGAATCATGATGGGCACCTGCTCCTCCACTTCCAAACTCCTTATGTGGAGTCCCATATTAAACTATCATCACCTCCATCTTGTTCAACATCTGTATGAATCCACTAAGGGAAATTGTGCATTACCATTACATCAGAGGCAAATGGTGCCATCTCCCAGCTTCCAAAGGCTTAGCTGAGATCAGCAACTGGATAAAGAGTAAATGGCTGAGGCTGAACCTGGGTAAGACTGAAATGATGCTGGTAGGGAGAAGGAGGCACTGTGCAGAACTCTTCGTCTCTATAATATTGCCCTTCATTGATAGCTTCTTCTCTTAGGTCACGAAGACAGTCTGCAGCTTCAGTGTCCACCTGACATTTCACTGCTTTTAGAAACCCAAATAAATATGGATCCAACAACCATCTAGATCTGGCAAGAAGATTGCGTGGCCTCCTGTTGGATCTGGACTTAGCCGTAGTGAACCAGGCATTCATGACCTCCAGACTTGATTTCTGAAACTCTCTGTACCTAGGTCTGAAACAGGTGACCACTTTAAAAACAAATCAGTTGGTCACTAATGGCAGGCAATCTCCTCTGTAACAGACCACTGGCAACATGTGACTTCAGTGCACAGTGTGCTGCTTTGGTTCCTGGTGAGTCAAAATCAAAGCTTTTGCCCTCCTCTTCAAGATCTACATCCAAGTAGGCCAAGTTACGTGAGGAACCACCTCACTCTGTGATCTTGGCTTTCCATAACGTGTGTGTTCTACTGGAGCAATGGAACTTGCAACCAAAAAAGTAAAACTTGTGCTTGCAGGAGACAGAGATTTATTGATGATTGGCCGAATTCTGGAACTCACATATGGAAGACATAACGTTGACCACAAACCACCGTGCCTAAAGAGCAAAACCCAAAACCCACTCCTTTGAGCTAGTCTACCACACTATACACCTGCCACACACATACACAAACCTGTGCCCTCTGGACTGGAAAGTAGGAGAGCTGTTAATTATAACTTTAGGCATATTTAATTTTGGAAGGCATTCACAATAATGGATACCATATGAAAAACAAGGTTTATAAAGTGGAAGGGGAAGGAAATGCTCAGTAAAGTGTTAGGCCTAGTTTTAAACAGATTTTGAAGCCTCATTGAAATGCATTGTTTTACTGTAGGTGTCAAAAACTGTGATCCCAAGGGCCCTTTGATGATGTACATCTCCAAAATGGTCCCCACAACTGATAAGGGACGTTTCTATGCCTTTGGAAGAGTCTTCTCTGGTATTGTTTCCACTGGACAGAAAGTTCGAATCATGGGACCAAACTACACACCTGGCAAGAAGGAAGATCTCTACCTAAAATCTATTCAAAGGTAGATGGAAATAGTTTGCTTCTGTTGAAGAAGAATGCATGCATGCAAAAAAAAAAAAAAGGTCAAGATGCTTGCAAAGCCTATTTTTGGGAACCTAATTAAAGGAGGATTGTTTACTTTTTTCTATTAAAATACCAAATTTGTATTTTTTTTTTGGCTTACATAACAGAAAATGAGTATCAGAAGGAATGCAGGCAAACAAGGAAGTTTCTATAACTGCCTTTTAGGTATAAAAAGGCATCGTTTCAACAGATATTTAAGGATTGTTACCCAATCTCTGTCTTTATAGAACCATTTTGATGATGGGTCGTTATGTTGAGCCCATTGAGGAAGTACCTTGTGGCAACATTGTTGGTCTAGTTGGTGTTGACCAGTTTTTGGTGAAGACGGGTACAATTACCACCTTTGAGCATGCACACAACATGCGAGTGATGAAATTTAGTGTTAGCCCCGTTGTACGTGTTGCTGTTGAAGCTAAAAACCCTGCTGATCTACCAAAACTAGTTGAAGGTCTAAGGCGTCTGGCCAAGTCTGATCCCATGGTTCAGGTGAGTGTTAGTGTTCAGGTGAGTGTTAGTTTTAGAGTTGCTGGTTTGCCGTGAAGTACTCAGACTTTATTCAGAAAGAGACTTATTCATGATAGCTTTCATAATCTGATGTTTAGAATCTGCAGCCATACCACTTACGTTGTAATCATTTGAAACTCAACAAGCTAAGCAGGGATGGGCCTAGTCAGAACTTGGATAGGAAGTCTCTAAGGAAAACCCAGGTTTTGCAATGAGTAGTATTGGTTATTCATTAGGCAGCACTCTTCCCTTTGATTTAGTATTGAAACAATGTCCCAGCATGATGTTGGGAGTTGCTTATCTTTCAGATGAGATTGTAAAACCGAGATCCTGACTACTTGTCATTACAGATTTTCCAAGTGTGGGAATGTGGGGATGGTATTAGTCTTAGTGTCTGGCTAAATTAGTGTGGGCAGTTTCTGCCTGCCTGCCTGAATTCCATATACAGTTCCAATGTTATGGAGCGCTCTTCACTTCCTATCATAAGCTACTGTGTAGTTTTGCTGTATGATGTTAGACCACCTGCAACATTTCACTGGTGGGTAAGGTGATTCATTGTTAAATCCTTGGGATGAAAGGCACTTCATAAATGTAATGATATTTGGTTAATCTCCACAATAACAGCCATTACTAAGCAATTTTAGAAAAAATCAATCACAGATTAATCTAACAGAAAATGCTTGTGGAATGTTCTGATTTAAATTAATTTAAGAAACAATTTTTTACTCTTACACAACTAGTATTTCATGTTCTAGTGTATTATTGAAGAGTCGGGTGAGCACATCATTGCTGGAGCTGGTGAGCTGCATCTAGAAATTTGCCTTAAAGATCTGGAAGAAGATCATGCTTGCATTCCAATCAAGGTATAAAAGGCTTCTTTTGTGTTTATATCTCCAATGTACAGAATATGATTACACATTAAGGATGGGATTTTCAAAGGGTATTTGATGCAAATTGGGCACCTAACTTCCTAAGGCTTCTTTGAAAATACCATGCTAATTTCACAGACATCTTCATTTGCACTAAGAAACGTATTTGGCCGTGGAAAAATATTTCTGTTACTAGGATTCCTTCTCATTGGATATTTTCCATATTTATAAGTCCTGAGTTTTTTTTCACAGAAAATCTTGGAATCAGAAGATAATAATCCTACTTGTCAATACAGCGCAGTTCTTCTGCTGCATTTTACTGTCTCAATGAAATTAGCAGTCTGTAGTCTGTGTCAGGGAACACTTGTACTAGTGAATGAAATTGGCTTTAAAGTCTGCCTTGAACAAAATTACTCCTGGGGGGTGTTCTGTGACAAAAAATTAAAAATTCTGTGCCCAATATTTTAAAATTCTGCATGTTTTATTTGTCAAAATAACACAATATAATCACACCAGTTTCAATTATTTTGATAATTTATTTCAAAATACCTGTCAGCAAGTATGTCTGTAACAATACAGACAAAAAAAAAAAAAAGATTCAGGAAATGTTTTTTTGACAAATAAGATTCCTTACTAGGCATATTAATACAAAACTTTGGGTAATTCATTTAAACTACTATACAGAAACGTATTTCCTGTACCCCTCAGAAACAGTGCAAAGGCTTGAGGGAGCCAGGGGTAATGAAGGAGCTGAGGCAGAGGGAAGGAGCCTGGGAATGAACCCTGGAGGACTGTTGGGTGTGGGTGGGAAAAGTATGGAAGTTTCTTTTTGGGGAGAAGAGGGATTGTTAGAGAGTAGGGAGGCCTCCCCCATGCAGACTCCAGCTGACCTCGAGCCTCTCCCATTCAGTCAGACACATCTGCCCCTATCGCCATGTGGCCCTGGAGTCACCCTCCCATTCAGCCCCTGGCTCAATGCTGTCTGAGCCCGTGCCCCAGTCTGTCTTCCCCCCTCCCGCCACTAGCCCTTCTGAGCCTCAGTCTGTGACACCCCCTCCAACAGCCCCATGTGCCCATCTCTGCCTCTGAACCTGGTTCCACAGGCAGGCTGCTGTGATGAACGCTGTTTCTGCGGGTCAGTCAGGTGTTCTGGCACCACAGCAGCCTCTGGTGGTCGAAAGGCAGAACTGCAGCACTTCTTGGGCAGAATGTATTTTCGGGGGGGGGGAGGGGGAACGGGGGACGGAATCTGCGCCTGATATGATTACTGTGTATGTGCAATGGCATAGAATGCCCCCAGGAGTACAAAATAAAACCTGCTGCCTAAGGCAAAGAAATGCTTTTGAACTTTGTTATAAAAAGGGTAAACAATACAAATGTGGGAATGACGGGACATAGTAGGTTCCTTTTGTAATTTTAGTGTAAAATGTTGGACGTTCACTATTACAATTTTATTGGAATTTATTTGCTACCTCACAGAAATCAGACCCAGTTGTATCTTATCGTGAAACTGTCAGTGAAGAGTCGAGCCAGATGTGCTTGTCCAAATCTGCCAATAAACACAACAGGCTGTATATGAAAGCTCGGCCCTTCCCTGATGGCTTGGCAGAGGACATAGACAAAGGAGAAGTCAGTTCCCGTCAAGAAATGAAGCAGCGTGCCCATTACCTGGCAGAGAAATATGAGTGGGATGTGTCTGAAGTTCGTAAGATCTGGTGCTTTGGACCTGATGGAACTGGTCCAAATATCTTGGTTGACATCACCAAGGGTGTCCAGTACCTAAATGAAATCAAAGACAGTGTTGTTGCTGGCTTCCAGTGGGCAACAAAGGAAGTAAGTATGAATAATAGTTTACATGCAGGATATTATTAAATATTGCTCACATTATCCAAACACCTTTTTATCTAGTGATAGAATATATATGTAACCTTTAGGAAAAGACAACTTGTTTATTAGAACTGTTAGGAAATTACACAAAACTATGAACAGTTTCAGCAAAGAACAAAAAAAAAATTGAAACTCTATTTAGATGGAAGATTTCTAGTGACTGTAAATGCCTGGAATTCCTCCACCCAAATATTAAATAGTTTGCAGTCTACGAGTGGTTGAACTTTGATTCCAAGTGCAGCTTTGTTGTGAAAACGTCTGTGTTCTTAAAACTTGCATTTCCACGTTGCAATGAATAGTTCTTCTGTTCCTTCAGGGTATCTGCTCACTACCAAAAGGAGTGTTTATGACTCTAAGTTGAAGGTCAAGGTGTCAGTGTAAGCACATGGTCAAATAGATTTCCAAGTGAACTCCCATATCTGTAAAAACGTTCAAAGTAGTAAAAAGTTACAGTATCAAATCCACCATTTTCCTTTCAATTCTGTAAAAGGCCATTGACTCTCTTGCAGGGTGTGTTGTGTGGGGAGAACATGAGGGGCGTTCGTTTTGATATCCATGATGTTACTCTGCATGCTGATGCGATCCACCGTGGTGGTGCGCAAATACTTCCCACTGCCAGGAGTGTCCTGTGTGCCTCTGCTCTGACAGCACAGCCCAGACTTATGGAGCCCATCTATCTCCTGGAGATCCAGGTATGTCAGAGGGTGATGTAGTGGAGACACGAAAGGAATATCATTGTACAGATATTGTTTCTGGGTTAAGAATGTTGCACTTGCTGTGTTTTTTTTTTTTAGAAATTGGTCCTGTGTTCTGAAGATGGTAGAGTTTGAGTTTTGTGTGTTTGGAACAGGGTCGAGTTTGAGCAGTGACAGCTACATGCATTGCGTTAAATCACACTGTTCTTCATGAACTGCCAGTGCCACTCAGGGAAACTAAGAACTTGTTCTGCCTTTCTCTTCTGTCCTTTATTACTAAGGACATTCAAGAGAAAACAGGGGTAACTGAACCCTTGAAAAAAGAGGGTCTCCCTGCAAGTGTCCTGAGGACCTAAACCAGAGCAGAAAAGAGGGCAGTATAAGCAGCTCTAGTTCTAAATATGTCTCTGTATACTTAACCAGCAGTTTTTTCTAGAGTTTTGACCTACTCTGTAAGGGCATGTCTACACTGTGATCTTAAGTCAACCTGTATAGCCACCGCAGTCACCAGGAGCACTTCCACCAACTGAAGAGGGGCAGCGTTGGGAGGCTGGGAGCTGAGATCAGGCAGCAGCCCAGCTGGGAGCTGGCTTTCTTATCAATTTCACAACTCTGCTGTAAGGAACACAGTGTCTACATCGACCCTAAGCCTCTCGTGGAGGTGGAGTTATGTCAGTATAGTAGGGCATATACATCGGTGGGAGCAAGGCTGTAGCACAGACACTGACATAGTTCGGTTGACGTAAGCTACCTCATGTCAACCTAACGCTGTAGTGTAGACCAAGCCTTCCGCTGACTTCGCTTTTATTTGGGGGGGGGAAGAGGAGGAAGGGTTCAAATTACTTTGTTTGGTAAATACAAGACCTCAGGAAATTTCTATTTGTACTAAAAGTAGGTATTACTTGCTACAGCAAAACACACACGGGGTTGCCTTAAAAAAAACAAAACAAAAAAACCCCTCAAGTTCAATGCCTGCCATCATTTAGAAATGTGTACTGGTAAAAATCCCCTGCCAGAAAACACTATCAGTAGAGTTGCTTGAATCCCTTCACTTTCCCGCAGTCCCCCCGGCCAAGTGAGGGCATCGCAGTGAAGAATTGGATCTGCGTGCAGTGGCTACTGCTGCAAAGTCGTTCTTTTTAGCACCTGTAGTAGTACCTTGACTGTTGTAACATAGCGTTATCAGTGTGTGTCAAGCTCTCTTTTACATAATTCCATTTACATGTTTACCTTAGTGTGCACTTAGTTTTAGACAAATGATGGGAGTCCTGCCTATCACTGATCTGCCCTTTCACTAAAAGATGTAGAGAATTATTATTCTGGGGCAAAAAGTGAGCAGCAATTCTTTACTGAACCCTACAACCTTTGGACAGTGTGGCACAAACATATGCAGCAGTCCAGTCTATTGTAGACACAAATGACGTGCTGGGAATTGTACAACCGGAGACTGGGGAAGCACCTTGGAGAGATTTGGAGGAGGGAAGCAGGCACACAGAGAGGTGGTTCCAGGGTAGGAGAAGAATCCAAAGGGATTGTCTGGTGCTAAGTTTAGTGCTGCTATGTTCAATGACCAAGCCACTGCTATCTGTATGTAACTTAGTAACATTTTTCTTCATAGTGCCCCGAACAAGTGGTTGGTGGTATCTATGGTGTGCTGAACAGGAAACGGGGTCATGTCTTTGACGAATTCCAAGTGGCAGGAACCCCGATGTTTGTGGTCAAGGCTTATCTACCTGTAAATGAGTCTTTTGGTAAGGCCGCCAAATTGTCTTTAGCCAACTCCTTGTACCTTCCTTAAGTAGGGCTGGAGGTGGGGGAGGACTTCCACCAAAGTGGCTGGGAGTTAATGAAATGGGAATTCTTACATCTGACTTCCTTCCTGCTGTTTTTTGCATCTTCAACCACCTTCTCCGCTAGGCTTTAATAACTTCTTGGCACCCTGTGCGGACACATGCAACTTACTCTTCCCAGCTGAGGACATTCCAGAGTGACCAGGACACTACTTCTGTCACTAAAGATATTTATTAAAAGCAGGACATAAGGCCCCTCTTATGCTGTAGCAAACTTGTGTGTAACGCAGAGCTACACCAGCGTACCACAGCCCAGGAGGTAGCCTGATGTTTTAAACGAATAATACAATCTACATAGCCTTACTGATTAACTTATTATATCCCTTTCCGTCACTGCCCATAACTTGTCAGTTTTCAGTTTGTTTGTTTTTTAAACTGAAACTGCCCTTTGGCAGTGGGGATGTGTTCAGTAGTGAAGCTGGAGGCTTTGCCAGCTGTAGGGCAGGGGGACAAGATAATACATGGGCTTTTGACATAGTCTGAGACAGCTAGCTGTCGTGAGAAGCATATTAACTAGATAGTTCTGCTGAAATTATCCGTATGAAATGAGTATTTAAAGGATCATCTTTAGGTTTCAGAGTTAACATTGTAAGAATAAGGGAATTCACACAGCAGAACTATTTGTTTCTCTGGAGATTCAGACAGACATTACATGGGTTTCTTTGTTTCCTGTTTGGAAGGTGCTATTTGCAATTAGACATTTGAACTTTTTCTAATGATAGATACACTGTGTAGGTTGCAGATTATTCTGTACCTTGAGTCATAATTTAAACCAGAGCATCTTGTTGAAACCCAAATTCCAAAACAGTTGCACCTAGATTTCCTTGGTATAGGTACGGCTTGTCATTCTCAGCTGATGAACTGAAGATGTTCAAAAAACTGATATTTTCCCTATAGCTCATACTAAGTTGCATTTCCAGGAGTACTGATATCGCAGTTAGTAAGGAGCTAGTCACGTAGCTGAATTGCTGCAGGCGGGGGGGGAGGGAGAGGCGGCAGTAGTAGTTTTGTGAAGAGGGAAAGGTGAAAAAGTCAGTCATCCTTTTTTAATAAACATACTTACATCCGAAGTAGTTCTGACACATATGAATTGCTCATCTAGGGAAAAAGGGCAAGATCCACAAAGGTACTTAAGTCCATCATTTAGGTGTGTCTGTCATTCAGCTGCCACCTACGTTTCTGCTGATGGGCATGCACAAAAGCCAGCAGCACTCCTGACACTGGGACCACAGCTTTTGCTGAAACCCTGCAGTTTCTCATGTTAGTTGTCTTCCACCTATCTCCCCATAGGGCCTGATAGTATAGGCACAGCTGTGGGTTTGGGCCCCATCCATGAGACAAGGGTGTGGGTCCAGAATGCACAAGAACCCAGGGGTCAGGGTACTCTCATCTGTCATGAGGGAGTAAAGTTCAAGTCCCCAGGAGGGCCTGAACCTGACTCGCCCCTCAGCCCAGGTGAGTACCCTGGTTGTAATGGAGTGGGTCTCTTCTCCCCCGTCCACCCGCTCTTCTTGGCATTTCACTCATGGCTAATTTAGGCAGCTCCCCATTCAGCTTGCTGGCTTCTGCAGTGCTTACGTCTCCCCTGTGCATTGTACAATGAATACAGGTGCCTAAGTAGAGTCTGAGATTCCCCCAGGAAGGGGGGTGCCTAGGAGTTAGCCATTGCAATACTGGTACTAGCAGTTCAGTTGTAATTACAATTAGGTGAAAAGTAAATAAGAGGTTAATGTGTTCAGTTAGAAACCTGGAAAAAAACAAAATGGTAAACTTCAGGCATCAGCCTGGTCAGTTTCCTAGAGGTTGCAGTTGGGAAAGCATATGCATACAGTACTGAACCCTACAATACTTTCTGGCTGTTGGAAAGGAAGGGTCAAGATAGGACTGCTCCACCCTATCCCCCAACCTTTTTTCTGGTTTCATTGCTTTTTGCTTTCCACTAAGAAACCAGCACAGAGCAACAGATTGCATTGGGAGCAGGAGCGGTAGGTGTGAAGGAAGGATTAGAGGTGCCTGACTCCTGTGTGAAGTAACCAGGTGCCTTGTGTGATTGTCACTGATGTTCTAAGAATTAAACAGTGGACAATGGGGGGATTACAATACAACACTGGCTATTTTAATTATTTAGTGCTTTATTTTTTTTAATCATGCTCTTACCCACGTTGAGCTTAGCATCTCGGTGTTTACACGGCTAGAAAGGAGAGGTTCTCTCTTGTACAGTAACTGGAGTTCACACTGTTTTCTCTCTGGGTGCTCTGCTCTAGAGCAAAACGCACACCTCAAGAATCTCACTCAACTGTGCCATTCTAGCAAAAACTATTCAATGCACAGTAGGGCTTCCAACTCTGCCTAGACACAGCAGGTATGACTGGCTGACTTTGCTTCCTTCCCCCCACCAGGTTTCACTGCTGACTTGAGGTCCAACACTGGTGGTCAAGCTTTTCCGCAATGTATCTTTGATCATTGGCAACTTTTGGCTGGAGATCCTTATGATGCAACTTCTCGTCTTGGGCAAATTGTGGCTGAAATACGCAAGCGCAAAGGCTTGAAGGAGGGTATTCCACCTCTGGACGACTTCTTAGATAAGTTGTAACCACCTTCTCTGCTTATGTTACATTTCCTCAAAACCAGGAAGCTTTGAGAACATCATTGAATACAAACAAACAATCCAGCATATTGCAGTTAGATCATGTTCATTGCCAAAAAAAATAAAATTATTAAAAAAAAGTTACATTGACTGATTCGAGGGGTTATTTTTGTAAGCAGGCCACTCTGTAGTTACCTTTGTGAAAAGTGTAGGTAAGTGGGAACTAACGGCCTGAAGTTCTTTTAAAAGATTCTCTCCATTAACATGTAGTCTGTTTCACAACTGTCCTGATGTAGAAAACAGTGGAGGCAGCTGTTTTACTATAGAATTATGCAAGAATTCTTAACTAAATTTAGGTTTTTCTTCTTAGTCCCCTTAAAGCTAATAATCTATTTCACATACCCCTTTGAAAACCTACATGTTCTTAAAGATATAGTGAAAGTGATCTTAGAAACCAAGCCTTTTAACACAAGATTAAAGTTCTGAATGAATCTAGATTATCTGTTTTGGTATTAGGGAAACTGAAGTAGACAATTAGAAAAAACAACCCACAATTTCTTACTAGCCTGTTCCAGTTTCTGAAAGAGTTAAACAATGTAACTAAAAAGGTGTTAGGGGAACACCTGCTCCAGAGCTCCTCCAAATAATAGTGATCATCAGTTTGTGGGGGTGAGGCTCATTTGGCTTTTCTCTACCACTATTTTCTCTACCCATTAGAGTAGGTAATAGTGGTAGGGTAATTTTTTTTTTTTTTAAAACAGTGATAGAAACTACTTTCCTCTAGCAGCTGCACAGTATCTGGCTATGTTCAGTTCAGTTCCACTCAAAGCAGGAAGAAGAAGAAGAGAAAAAAAAAACAGGTTCTTTTATAGTGGAAGCTAAATGGAAGCACTCTTACTTTTCTCCATACATTTTTTACACTAATAAACTCAATATACATCAATCTTGCTATGAAGCAAAAACATGCTGAAGTACAAAGCCTTAAATGTTCCCCCTTCTCCCCCTAGTGCATGGGTGAAATAAGGGTACCCTAGGCTGCCCAATTCAGCATGTTCTCCAACACTATGAACTCTGTTCCCTAGAGTACTCAAAATATTCAATATAAACTTTCTACCAGAAGGGTTGGTATGACTGACATGTCAAAGCAGTCTGTTAGGAACCGTCCACAAGTGTCTTAGCTAGTCGCTGCTGTATGTACAGCTGTATAGTATTAGAACTGTAGCCAGCTATAGTTTGTCCATGGAAGTCTTTCAATTGCTTTCATGACTGTCACTGTAGGGTTGCACCTGATATTTAGAACTATGCTTTCCTATTAATTGAATGTAAACCTTGCATAGGCATCCATCAAAAAGTTTTGCCAGTTTTTAAAACAAAATAAGCCCAACTTTGAAAAACAACTGCCATAACTCCTCTCTCATTCTACAATGCCAGTTTGCAACTGACAAGGAAAACAGCGATGGTCAAAATTGAATTACATTTGTCAAGCTAAACCACACACAGCTCAAACTTGACTTCCTCTCAGTGCTTGTAAGCTTCCCCGAGAAGAGCTGTGTTTGAAAGTGGAGACTGCATTTGCCCCCCCAATTAATGTAATGATCATTGTTATATGGCTGAACAGCTCCTCTCCCCAATGCACCTGATTTATACTAATGAAGCGTTTGCTACATACCAACCAGTGGTGCCAAGGAAATACTTCAATTCTGTTGCAAATTCCATTGCTCGGTCTCTCACAAAGAATGTACTGTTGAGAAACTGAGCACTGATCAAAGCATAAGAAAAGCTGAAAGAGGGATTATCCCCCTCTACTGCAGCCTCTGTAGGGGGCTGTCTGTCAGGATACATTAGGCCATCAAGCACCCATGCAGCCCACCGTTGGAGTGGGTTTGTCAGGTGAATCATTTTTTCTTGTCCCTGGTTGCAGAGCAGCCCTTTAGAGCCCCTTGTATACTAGTGTATCCCGGGGGCAACTCTAATTTACACTCGGCCCACAGCAGGCTTCCTGCCAACCAAGAATTGGGCAGAGGGGAAAAAAGTGTAGCTTAAAGTCACCTTTTGCCTCTTGGGTATGTTTGGTGCTGGGTCTCCTGGAGATATGGCACAGAATCTGTCCTGTGGACTTCACCAACGCATAGCTATTTCTCCTTGCTGCACAGCCAGTTCTTCAAATCCAGCCCAGGTCAAAGGGTTGTTGTGGGCTTTTGGCTCTCCCTACATCCAGTTTTACTTACAGGAAAGAATCTTCACTCAACTATACAGGTCAAACCAGACTTCACTTTTTGGACAGGGACTAAGGCAGTTATACCACACGACTTTGGCTTCTGGCAATGGAAGCCATACACTAGACATCCGTCTGAGAATGAGTGGAAAGACAGACTATACTAGTTGCTGTAGAATTGCATGCATCACTGGCAAAACCTTCCGCATATAGTTCTCAAATGGTGAAGGGACAGCTTGTCACTTCATTTCAGAGCTGCAGTATGGATGTTCCAAGCAAGCGTAGGAGGTACAGGTACACTATGCAGTACAGACATACCCTTCCACCCTGCTCAAATGGAAGGGAGCACGGAACAAATCTGCTGATCACGGGCAACTCTAAGTATGTTTCCTCAGTTGTCTGCTGCTCTGAGACAAGAAATAACCTTTCCCTCTAATTGAGCAGATACAACAGACTAGGAAATTATAGAACTGCATATTGCAATTCAGTGCTTCGCATGTTAGTTTATGATCCACTCTATCAGAATGCCGGTGTTGGTCACTGACTTCTACTCCAGTCATCCACAACATGCCTCAGGCGGCACATGACCAGGATTCACCACTGAATTTGGTCCGCTGGTTGGATCATTAGCTTCCTCGGCCCAGGTACTGACAGAGTGTGACAAATGCTGATCCATGCCAGTGACTTAGTGCATCTGCAAAGTACCATGTGTTCTTAGTACAAGAGAACTTTTAAAAATATTGTTTATCTTTAGTGTCCCAAAATTAGCATGACTATGCTATTTTTACTTCAACTATGCAATTAGTATAGAGAAAAAACACTAATCACCTAAAGAAAATTAGAAACAATAAGCAGCTTGGCTTTATTAACAAATCATGCCAGAAAAAAACCTTGCTCATTTAATAGGTACAAAGTTAGTGGACAAAGGGAAAAAAGTGGGGGGGTGCACTATTAAGATTGACATGAACTGAAGACTAGCTGAAAGAGCGTACAAAAAAGCTACGAGTAACAGATGCCGATTATTTGGGGTGGGAGTGGAGGATGGCAAAGGGATGTGCAATAAGCCCTGTTTTAACATCTCCTGTATTTACACTTAGTTCAAATACTATGGTAACAAGTGCCGTAAGTATGGCTTTCGGAGGCATAAACCACACTGAACCAAATGCAACACTTCCCCATCTAGTACCTAAAAGATATTAGGGAAGAGACAGGAAAGAATGAAAGTGAGTTGTTACGGGAAGAATTTTAAATATAGTCAACAAACACTATACTTGGAAAAGGTGCAATGTCAAGACAGACAATACCAAGATTCCAGCTCTAAAGCAATGCATTTCCTTATCACTTTCCTGGTCTGTAACCCCTTCCAACATACAGCACTGAGATCATCCATAGAATATCATGTACAATTCTGGGTACCACCAAAGAAAATATCAGATAAGAGGAAAGCAAAGATTAAAACAAATATTAAAGGGAGGGATTAGGAGGAAAGATTAATTATAGTCCTGTTCAGCAAACCCTTCTAGACACTATACACAATAGTACTGTTAAGAAACCTTGCATGATTTGGCCCTATATGTATATTTTGACCAGGCAGGGACAGTGTCTACACTGGTTTGATGATTATCACAACAAAGAAACCCTCTAGTCTACCATGAAGTTATAACTAGGAGTAATGGGCTGAAAGAGTGAAGACAGTTTCCCAAACGTTGTGTCACACTGTGCAATAGCAAAAAAGGCGGGTGAAGCTGTTTGAATCATTTAAAGCTCAACTAGACAAAGCTTTGGCAAATATGCACCAAAGAACAATCCTGCACTGGACAAAGGACAGACTAGACAGATAAACGACTTTGTGATTCCAACAGCTGCACTGAAGGACAGACAGTTTAGTTTTATGAACTAGTATGGGTAGGCAATTACATGAAGGAAGAACAAGGATTTCATAGTCTGAACAGGTTTTTTTGTTTTTGTTTTTGTTTTTGTTTTTTTTTTTTTACACTTTCCACCTTATACAAGAGGCCTGGCCAGAAGTTAAAGGACTACAGCCAGGTTCTGCATAGCAGTTTGTTGTGTTTACACTATGAATTGAAAGCACACATTAACATCCGTATGATGAAGGGTTTGCATAGTTTTTCTCCAAAATACACAAGGAAGAACACTTTAGGAATTTGCATTCATAAGTGAACACCACAATCAGGAAAAAACTATTTACAGGATTTTTTTTTGCCATGGAAGGGGGAGGAAGGGGAAAGAAGGATGTAAGGAACAAACAAATATAGCACAAATCATGGCTATTTCACAAACCTTCATTATTCTAAATGAAGTTTATTACAGGCTGCAGTGAAAGAATTCAGCACTGCAGACTTCTGCACCTTTTTCCTGTATCCAGGATAAACATATGCGGTTTTCATTCTAGAGTGGTTAAGTGCCTTTTTTATTTAAAAAAAGTTGTTGTTTTTTACATTATTGCTGTGTAGGAATCCATCCAACAACAAAACAAAGTCAGTTTCCCCAGAACAAGCCAAAGGGTATGTTTGTTCTGACTGTCTTTTTTTACTCCAAATATTTTGTGACCAAGAAAAAAAAAAGTTCTAATCATTTCAAGTTCCTACTGTAGATGTAGTTTTACTCGACTTTCAGAAGGCAACAGAATCAATCTGTCTTTTTAATAAATATCAAAATAGCTTCCAAGACACTGCAGTTCCTTCTCCAGTCATGACGAGCAGCTTTGTGCAATTACTCCTAGAGTTTTTTTGCTGCCAGTGTTTCAGTCTAATGAGATGATGTCAGGAATGCTGCTCCCACTGCTGGTTATGACTCCTGTCTCGCTCCTGCTTGAAGAACTAACGTGAGTGCTGCTCTCCTGGTGGCTGGTAGATGTGATGATATTGCCCGGGGTGCTGCTTGTTAAGGTTGAAGTGAGACTATCCAAAAACATGGGAGGACAGTACTGCTTGAAACAAACAATGATGCCGATAAGGAAGAGACTTAACTGCACAAGGGAAAAGTAAGCTCTGAGGATGCATCTTCCCTACAACAAGTAAGTTAACTACAACAGAAACTTGCTAATACATGCACAATAAGAACCAGATTTTTACAAACCAGCAAGCAAGAACACAGCAAGCAAAGAATGCATCAAACTATATTCTGCTCATTTATTTGAGAAGGCTAGGTTAGTTTTAATAACACTTCATTACTTTTAACACATATGCTACAGAACATTTACTGGCATACAATGAAATCTTAGTACAGAGCTGTAGCAAGGTCTTGTGTTGCTACCACATCTCATTAGTGGAAAATTTACCTCATAATTTGCAGATGTGCAAGTATAAGAGGGTCTCCTATCATTTGTGTAATCACCTTATATTTACATAGCACCTTTAGTCCTTAATGACAAATGTGCTTTGCAAATTCAATGTCTACAAGAATCACTTCATCCACACCACTGAAGTGCAGCCACTTAACAGCAAGAGATACTTGACTCTTTCTAAGAACATTTTACCAATGACAAATGGGCTGTAATAGTCTAGTTTACCAAAAAAAAAAAAAATCAAACTCATGCAAATTCAAAATAGGTTTCCTGAATTGGCAGAACCTCCTTTTAAACTAGCATTATTATGGTTGAATACAGCAAGGAGCGTTTAAGGCACTAAATCTCTAGTAGGTTTTAATGAGTCCATACCCAAAAGGGATCGGAACATCTTCAGTCTTTACCTACTTGATGTACCCTAAAAATGTACTATACTAGTTTTTAAATGGATTCATTTCTTACTTTTGTGGTGTCTTCAAAACTATCCCACCCTGGGACCTCAGGTCACAGCAATAGTTTGGAATCAAACTGTAATGTCGGAATTGGCTGGAGGAGTTGCTTTACAGCAATATATTCAATCTATATCCTTTGTGTACAGCCTCTATCAATCCCAGCCTGGCAGCCTTTGGATCCCCAACTCAGAGTCCCCTACTATATGGCTCATCTGCAGGGGCGTGCAAAAAGGGGGGCAAGAGCTCCCCTCCCCCCCAATCTGTGTTTCTGCAGCCTTGGGCCAGGAGAAAATGGCCGGGCTGCTGGCTGAGCTTCTCCTCCCCCCACCCCTACAGCTGCAGCTTCTCCTTCCCTGCTTTCGGAGTCCCCTGTTGCGTCTGCCTCCAGGCCCCGACTCACCTCAGCGGTGTCTGCAAAGCAGGTAGCAGCACTGGGAATCCAGGAGCATGGAAGCAGCAGCAGGCTGCAGCTACAGGAGTGGGGGGAGGAGCCTGCAACCAGGTGCCCTGCTGCTTCCCTCCTTGCCCATGCAGCAGGGACATGGAGAGTTCTGCTGCAAGGGGAGATGCTGCTTCCTCACTGCTGGGCTTCCCCACCAGAGGCATCTTGAGAAATGGGGGGAAGGGAGGGGCCACACATTTGTGTGTGTTTAGTGTCCCTCCAAAAGTGTTCACATTTAAATTCTTGCGCATGCCCCTGCCCATCTGACACAGCTACAGTAAGTACTTCCTCTTTCTCCAAGGGCTGGGCAGATGACAGCTGTCCTGAAAGCTCAGGAGAGGATCAGAATCTCTCTCAAATCCTAATCTCATCTGGTCTATTTAATTAAGATCAAGTGTAGTATCCATTGAATATCTGATATAGCCTCCTACCTACACAGGGGAATGGATTATAATAGGCCACTACGTAGAGTCAGTTACGTTACAAAGGGATGGAAACTCATGTTTCTGGGAAAAGGACGCTAGCTACCTACCTATCTGGGGATTTGGGGGGGAAGAGAGAGAGTCTTCCCTTATTGAAAAGTTATTCTATACTGGTCTATCATGGGATGGTTTGTGCCTTCCTCTCAATGTTTGATACTAGCTACTGTTTGAGACAGGATTCCTGACAGTCTGGACCAGTCGGGTGGTCCAATTAGTTTGCAATTAATTTTTCTGAAGTGTGTAACCATGAAAAAAAACCCAAAACACTTAAATTAAAAAACCAAAAAACAAAACACAGACATCAATGTAGCCAGGAAACATACCTGTGGATCAACTGGGATTAGTGAAAGAAAATCCAAACCTAGAAAGATAAGAGATTAATGTTGTCTCCTCTGTTATCAATAGTTGTACAGCTTTAAGAAACATTTTATCACCATTAATTGCTTAGTGTTAGCTACAGAGTACTTAGTGAAGGACACATGGTAATACCTGTCTCAAATTATCAGGAGCCAGGAAAAATAAAGTTGTCTAGTTACAAGTGGGTTTTTTCCCTACATGTAGGTAGAGTGATGGTGGTGTATTCACTGGATATACTGGGGTGATTTTAACATGGTTGCATAGATGAGGCGGTAGCTAACTGGAGATATTGCAAGTGTATGCAAGTCTAGCATAGCACAAGATTCACTGTGTGACCATAACTTTTAATCAAACTGGACATAAAGAGTGTCAATATTAAGCATGCTGTAGAGAAGTAAGGTCACAACGTGACCAAGTCCACAACCAAACAGCAGGCCTCTCCTCCATCCAAAGGCAGCCAGCAAGGAAACACTTCTAACATCAACCCTATTGTGTTGAAGCAGTCTGGAAACATCAGGAATGGAGAAGCAGTTCAAACTACAAGCTTCAAGGAGCAGTGACTGAATTTCTTCCATCTTATACACCTTCAGTGCTTAAGCATTTAGGGCAGAACTTTCAAAAACAGAAGCCTACCAATGCTAGAGACACTTTAGTCTTGTATTTTTGAAAATCCTGGCCTTGCCTTCTCCATATTGACAGAAAGAAAGATAAAAGAATAGAGAATGGAATGGGCTACTGTAGAACTCACCTCCTACTCCCTCCCTTGCCAGCCAGCCCTGGCCTCCAACTGGATCTAGGCAAAGGTGTTCCCTCACCAGCAGGCTGTCTGTCCCCCCACCCTCTGAGAAAATGGATGGGAGATTTGATTCAGGAGATATATCTCTACAGAGCCCATAAGGGATCCACAATTCTCATTGTGAAATTCTAGAACTTTAATTCTCTCCTTAAGGTTAAAATGAACTAAAGGTGAACCGAAGGCTTTTCTGAGTATTCTACAGAAAGACGCTGGGTTTTCTTAAGGGAGGCGTGTTGGGAGGGAGGGAGCAATAAAAGAACCAGAGAGCGCAGTGAAACACAGAGGTGGTGATCTATCGCAATGCCATCATCCAGGTGGGGGCTGGAACAGGAAAAAAAGCCACAAGTGTAGCAGGGAGGATATGGACAGGTCAGGGAAAGGGGTGGGTGTTGGCTGAAACCATTTTCCAAGGCTCTGTGTACTAGTGTAGGTAGAAGGAATCCCAAAAATCCTCACAAACCGCATTCTTGTAAAGAGCGAGGATAGAAAATACCACCATTTCCCACCTTCTGATTGCTATTAGCAGCAGTGTTGAAGAATGCATCATGGGCATTTAGGGGATGTCTAGATAAAAAAGGCAACAGAGGTCAGAGCTTACACATTGTAGCTCACCTTAACCTTTTTCCTAGGTTAGGCAGAGTAACACTAGGGACAACCTTCAACCAGCTAGATCGAGGTAAAAGGTTTCTCTCCTTGTCTAGAGGCAAGGTAAGGTTGAGGTGAGCGGTCACAACTTTAGATGCTTACTCTCCCTATCTTGTGTTTTTGAAGCACATCAGCCAGGTGATCACACTAATGAAACCTAATCCATCATAGTGAGAGACTTCTCCTCTAGCTGATTTACCAACACACAAACTCGAGTTTGTGCTCATTAGAGCAATGTTTTTGACTTCACTATTTTGGAAGCTATACCACTGGAATCTGAACATGAAAAGACCCCCTAGTGACCTGCTTGCACGGTTCTGGTTTAGATGTAGCATCAGTGCAGTACTCAGTAAGGCAATACCTCATTAGTTATTAATGAGAGTGTTGGAAAATGTTAAAAAAATTAACCACCACCTACCTGGCAAGTCTGACGACATACTGGATATTTGTGAGTGGTGGAATGGTACTGAGTAGTCTGTTAATGAAGGAGGAATAGCAGCAGGATCAACCGTTGTCACACTGGGCACTCTTACGGTAGATGGCTGATACATGAGAACCCTGTTTTAAACAGCATGGGAAATTACAAACAATCTGGCTGTTAGTTAAGAGGAGAGAAATTCTGCACCACAGTGCATTCTCATTCACAAGGTCACTATGTTACAACACAACTATAGTGTGGCTACTCACTACATAGTACTCCACTCTAATCTCCTCTTTCATAACAGTCTTCATTATAACATGAACGTATCTTGGCTCTCAACAGCAGCTGTGACATAAGAGCTAGTTGGCATTAAAACAAAGTACAGTGCTGCAGTCATTTATAACACTATCATCCAGGAATATAAATGGCTATTTGTAAGTGAATTAAGTACTCTGGGGGAAGTGAGGAACTGACAGAACTGACTGAAGCCAGGAACAGGACAAGCTGGCACTTGTTTAAGCTTCCCCATGTATCACTACGCCCATGTTTCTCAATGCTGACTTCTAGTGCCACATAAAGTTGGTCCAGCATTTATCAGTCCTCTCTGACCAATGTATGGTATGAAAACAACAAACTCATCTTCATTCACAACTTAAAGCAAGAGTTAAATTCAGCTCTCCAGAGGTGCAAGACAGTACAGTAATCCACTGGGCCAACTATCCCCTCAAATATTTGAATAAGATCTTTTTGTAACCCCAAGTCAGTGATAGAACCTTACACAGGAAACATGCCAGAATGCATACATTTCTAGACACTGAAAAAGACAGGCTTCAGAGACATCTTAATTCTACAAAAGCATGTCTGAGGTTTTTGTGCTCAGAAAACAGACAGGAATACTTCAGACCAACATAAGACAAACATATGGCTGGTTGCACCCATCTTGCCAAAAAGTGGCAGCAGCAGCATTATGAAAGGGAGTCATTGGCATCTGACGTTACTATTAAACCTATTCTTTCCTGAAGAGATTTAGAATTATTTACATTTGCAATCAGTACTGAAAGAGGAAGAAGTCTGGCGACAGGACTCCTCTGCTGCTCTCAACAAGTGATGGGACTTCAAAGAGGGTCACCACTGGAAATCTATGAAAAGTAATTTCTACTATAAACTTGCCAAAGAGCAGTAAACACCTGTTGTTGCAGAGTGAACAGGACATGCTCAGTACTTCAGCAGGTGGCAGAAAGGAGAAAAGTAAATTTTGGGCACGGAGTGGAGAATTTACTTGAGGAAAGGACATGAGCTACTATGCTGTGACTCTCAGATGTTGTAGGAAATTTGATCATGACCAGTTAGTGATGCCAGAAGGTTGACCCTCTGGAGTGGGTTGGCGGAGCAATGGTCAGCTCTAATAATGGTCAGCCTAACAATAGAGTAACTCCTCACTTCAAGTCGTCCCGGTTAACATGGTTTCGTTGCTGATCAATTAGAGAACATGCTTGTTTAAAATTGCGCAATGCTCCCTTATAACGTCGTTTGGCAGCCACCTGCTTTGTCCTCTGCCTGCAGGAAGAGCAGCCCTTTGCAGCTAGCTGGTGGGGGCTTGGAACCAGGGTGGACTGGCAGCCCCCCTATCAGCTCCCCTAAGTTCCCTGTGTGGCAGCTTCCCAGCAGGCTACCAATTGCCAGCAGTTCAGCTGTCCCTTCCCCCACAGCTATGTGCTGCTCCTGCCCTCTGCCTTGGAACTGCTCCCAGGAGCCTCCTGCTTGCTGTGGGGGGGGGGGAAGGGGAGGGAAGAAGGGGGCTGTCAGGGTGTGTCCCTCCCCCCTGCTTACCGCTTCTCCATATAGAGCAGGACAGAGGGAGCTTGCTGGCTGCAGCTGCTGTCTCAACTTCCTGATCTACTTAAAAAGGCAATATATTTAGAGTGGTGTAAGCGTACTTAAAGGGGCAATGCGCATCTCTCTCTCTCACACACACACAGGGTGTGTCTCTGTCTGCCATGCTGTCTCCCCTCTCTCCATTCGTGCTGC